ATACAATTTTTTTTTCCTTTGATTTTTTACCTGGATTACTGAGATGCATCAGGACATTTACTTATTAAAGCTCATAATCTTACCACTTGAAACATCACGAGCCCTGAAGCTGCTGATAGACATCGCGGTTGGAATTATCAAAGGTTTTTGACACCTGAGAGACACCGTAGCAACTCCTTTGCGTTTGGAAGCGGGGGTGGGGGTGGGGGGAGGACCAGGGAGGATGATTCAACCACTCAACCATTAGATGTCGCTGAAAACAACAAATCCTACACACTGTGCCTTTAAAAGAAATACTGTACATTTGTAATATAATATACTGTATACATTTATATTTCATGCTAAGCACTTCTGGATGGATACAAACTGCATTTCGTTGCCTTGTACTTGCGACGTGCAATGACAATAAAGTTGAATTCTATTCTATTCTTACACCACACCAAGGTTGTAACAGTTTTGGATTTTTCATTATAGTTCAGTTTTATTTTGTCTTTTTTCTTTTAATTTGGTTAGTTTTAAGTAGATTTGCTAGTTTTTATTGTTATTATTGCTTTTTTATGCTTTGTTTTAGTTGTTTTTTTTCCATGGAAGCAAAGATACTCACTTAGCCGTCTTGTGCAGTTTTTCCCCTTGAGAAGTGTTCCACCTATTTTATCACCCGTTTCCACTACAAGACACTTGCTTGTATTTTTCTCAGTCATATTCAAAGAAATCCCAAATTGGATGCTGAGCAGTGGCAGATTGTAACAAAGTGACGTTACGTGCTATAAGCTGCTCACAGCTAATGTGAAACTGGTTGACTTGGGAAAAAAAAGATTTGTTTAATCAGTCCACACAGCCTAAAATTACCAAACGAAGGCTATTCTATCCATTTTCAGTTTTATTCGTTTTGTAAAACAACAATACAGTTCCAGTTATCGTTTTTTCATTTTATACATTTTTATATACTTTTGTTAACTAAAATGTTTTTTTCAGTTCAGTTGAATAGTTTCAAGTTAAATGATCTCATACCTCCCACTTCAGACTGACAGTTGTATATTAATTCAGGTTATATGAGATCATGTGACCTGTTCTGTCTGTAGATGGCAGATGATGACCTGACATGGATTTTCTCACAGGTTTACTGTTTCATTTGATCAGAAAAAAATATTTAAAAAGCCAAAAGATTCAGTAAAAAAGCCAAGAATAAAAAACCACGGCTCATCCAGAACAGACCGACGTAAACACTTCTGACTTTTTTTGCCCTTCCATAACAAGCAAAACACTAAAAACATGTGACAAGATGGTTGTTTTGCTTAATAAATCCTCTGAAAGGAGAAGCTGGCCTCCTGCTGAGTCAGTCTAATCAGCACACGCCTGGCATTTTAGGAAAACCCACATCCAGCTATGAAAGAGCCGAGTTTCTGTCAAAGATAAATGGACAGGTATCAACAAATAGTTCATTTATTTATTAAAATCAAAAATAATCAAACTCATCTTTTCATGCTTGTATCAGAAGACATCTGTGAGTTTTCTTGGAATGACATTTTCTTGTTTCAGGAAAAAAAAGAAAAGAAAAACAACTTTAAAAAGAAAACTGTTGCATTAAATATCGAGCATTTTACTTTCAGACCTGATGAAAAAGCAGACATGCAGCGACGTTTTGAGGCATCTCAGTTCTACGTTGTAATTAGAAACTCGTTTACGTAAAAAAAAAAGAAAAAGTTTGCATTAAGTTAGGTGTCAGTTTAAAGTCTGAATAGAACTTACCAGCAGCTTTAAAAAAAATTCCTAATTAACAAAAAAACCCAAACAATAAGCAAAATAAGGATTTATTATCATGATCAAGAGTCCAGTAAGGCAGAAGCTGTGGTGGGCTCMGGTTTGAACCATAAGGTCCGAATATGGCAACGCTGCCATCTAGAGGCAGAACTGAGGCTGTCAGGACCAGTTCAGACCCGATGGTCCCTCTGAGACCCTGAGCGGTGTCATGTGTCGACCTCGTTGTAGAAAAAGGTGTAGTAAAGCAGAGCGCTGACGGCGAACAGTGCGACCGACAGCAGCATGTTCTTTCTGTTCTCACCTCTTAACGACTGCAGCTCTTTGTCTGGAAAGCAACATTTAAAAACATTTAAAATAACTGGAGTTAATTTAGTTGTTTTTTTTTTATAATATGGTTTACATGTAGAAAAGACACCAACTAAAACTAACTTATTATTGTGTCTGCCTTTTTTTTTTTTACTGCACATTTACTATCTAGGTGCTAATTTCAACTTGTGGCTGCTATTTTTAGCTTTCGTTTCTATTTTAGCTGTAGATCTGCTTCTTTTTCTTCTGCTTTGTCAATTTCTTGTGCTTTTCTCTGCTAGTTTGTGCTACTTATGCCTTACAGATGTTTTCAGCTATTTTAGTTCTTAGCTTTTAGATGTTTTTTTGTTGTTTTCAAATAGATTTGTGCTCATTTTTACTGTTTTTCTGCAAAGTTAGGCTTTTATGCTTCTTTCAGCTTTTCAAATTTAACTCGCATTAGCACTTTTGCTATTTTTCAGCTAAAATTTTCAGCATGGAGCATTCAC